AGGTGGAGGAAATGCTCTGGTGAATTCAGTAGGGAGAGAGCTTACATTCTCCCAATGTGTTTGTAAGGAAAAGGACTAGAACTGAAGAGTTTGGATATGAATGAAAACTTGAAAGGTGCTAACAACAATATAAATCAGGGAATTAAGTTGCCCTTTGTTGATTTTATTTCTTTTTCAGGTTTTTTGTAAGCAAGCAAAATATCTAGGAAAGCTTGAAGGTATGGGACCAAAAAAAAATAATCTTCAATATTAGCTATTATAAATAAAGCAGCAGAAAATTTTTTTTGTACATATAGCCAACATACTTCTATTTCTGCAGGATAAAATTCTAGATGTAGAATTGCTGGGTCAAAGACATGTTTTTGTTGTTGTTGTTGTTTTTAATGGGAATGTGGAGTCCAGTTAAAGTGTGTGAAATCCTCTTGCTTAATTGATAATATAGCTTTTCCCTTAATTGATAGTTCTTCTTGTATTGACACCTTCTGTCTTTTTTTTTTTTAAGACATATTTAATGGCATTTCTAGTATCATGGTAAGTTGGATAGATAAGTGGGTTTGTTATTTTCATAGTTTTAAAGATATTATTTCTTTGAATTTGATTTTTCATTTTTAAAAATATTCTTTTATTAAATATACTACACATTAAGAAAAATACACAAACCATAAATGTGTGGCTTGATGAATTATTACTAAGTGGATATATCCATGTAGCCATTACACATGTCAAGAAATAAAACATGACTACTGCCCCCAAAACCCTTCTTCTCATGCTTGCTCCCAATCACACCACTTCTTCCTACCCCCAACATAAGCAATAAATTCACTTTTTACACCATAGATTAAGTTTTTGAAATAGTAACCATAATTTATATAAGAGGAACCATAGAGTGTGTATTTTGTGTATGTCTGGTTTATTTCTGTATTGTATTTGTGAGACTCATCTCTGTTGTAGCAGAATTAGTTTGTTGATTTTCATTGATGTATCATGATACTATATTTTTTGATATGCCATAGTATACGTATGTATTCTATATTAAAGTATTGCAGATATCGTGTTCTACTCTATGACTTGTCTTTTCACACTCTTAATGGTGTATTTTGGTGAACAATAGTTACTACTTTTAATGTAGTCCAATTTATAAATCTTTCTGTGTCCTTTTAAAGAAATCTTTGCCTATCACAGGGCCACAGAGACATTCTCCTTGAACCATTAAGGCTTCTGTTTTTATATGTAAACTCTATTACATTAATTAAATTTATTCTTCATATTTTTTAAAACAGAATTTTACTGAAAAATAGATGTTGAATTTTATCAGATACTTTTTCAGTAGTAACTAAGCTAGTTACTTGATTTTTGTCCTGTTTATATATTTAATCTTGCATTTAATTATGTTGTAGTTTTCCTTATGCTTTATCTGAAACCCATTCCTGGGATGCACCCTTCTTAGTCATAGTGGATAGTTTAAAAATGTGTTATGGTCTCTTTTCTAAGATTTTTTTTAGGAGTTTTCATTTGTGCTCATTAAGTGAGGTTAGTTTGTAATTTAATTTTTTGTGTGTGGTGCTTTTAACTGTTCTACAATTGAAGCCATCTCTATACATACTTTTTTGTTCTTTGGAATGTTAAAATGAGTTATTATTTTTTGAATGTTGGAAATAAATTTTCCATTAAGTTCACCAGTGCTCTTTTCTGTTTATTACTTGATAAATTTTCTAATTCCCTTTGTTTTGGGTTTATCTTTTTGTATCTTTTTTGTTTGTTTTATCTATTTTGATTTGTCATCGTTTTACATAGCTATATATCGTAATTCCAAATGTATCAGTAAATAATAGAGAATGGTTTACCAGAAAAGCTTGTAATCTTTTTTATTAATTGTATTACTTTTTATTTCTGGTTTTCTTTCCTTTTAAAAATTGATTTTCCTTTTTAAAAAATTGATTTGTGTTTTTTTCTCAACGAATTAGCATAATTTTAAAAACTTCATTGATTTTAAGGCTGCATAGTGTTCTGATATATAGATGTGTCATAAATAAAGTAGACTAGGATTTCAACCTTTAAGTTGAAGCTGTAGTTTTTGAGATTTACTCCTTGTTTTTAAAGTAGAGATCTTTAGATTGTATTCCTTTTTCTTGCTCTCCTTCTTTGAGACTTGGTTTTGCTTTTCCTAGTGAGGAATGGGGCAGGCAGATGACTGTGACACTCTTACAGGAGTTACCAGCCCCTTTAAAGAATTGATGAGCTCACTTTGGGGCGCTAGGGAAAGGTAGGGCATCAGGCATTGGAGATGGTATTTAAGGAATCCTGAGATTAAAGGTCCTAATGGTACAAATTTGTTTAAAATGTGAAATATAATAACAAGAAATGCGTAAAACATTAAAGTATCACTTAAAGGATTATAAAATGAACACCAGTGTGACCTCATCCAGGTCAAGAAATAGAACATTTCCTGCCTGCACCTATGAGGCCTCTTCCATGTACAACTCCCTTCAACGTCCCCAGTGGTGGCCACTTTCCTGACCATTATGGCAATCTCTTAATCGTCTTTATAGCTTTATAACATAACTATGTATTTCTAAGCAATGTAGTAAAATTGTGCTTATTTTGGGGACTTTTCCTTTGTTTTTAGACACCTGACATTTTGTACCCCCAGGAACAGCCTTGAAGAGGAAGAGTCACAGAGGGTGTGTGGGAAGTGAAGGGGAAAGAATCCTATACATCTTGTCCTAATAGAGCTTGGGGAACTTCAGTCTTACTATTCTTAGGTGAACTTGAGATCTTTTTTTACCAGGTGATGGAGCTATATCTTCACTGTTGCCAGGATTCTGGAACTCACTCTGTGTTTGGGTCTTTGAAATATGGCTTCTGAAGCACTTAATGGCCCTGACCAGGGCATGGGCCTACCTGGAGGTCTGTTTATTGCCCATTCTTTTCCTTCTCATGTTCCTCTGATGGACATTTTTAACTGAGTTCATGCTTAAGAACCCCTGTGGGTTGAAAAAAAAAATTCTAAAGTCATGCTTTTTTTTCTTTCTTTCCTAATGTGTAAAAGCTATGGAGGTTAATTTTGGACTTTATTCATCAATGCCTGTTCCTCTCTCCGATTTAGGCACCTCAAAAGCTTGAGGAAATCAAGCGTTTTCCTTTTCTTTTTTTTTTGGTGCCAAGTACTTTGCATTTTCTATAAACATAAGTAGAAAGTGGCTTTATAGTATAGATCTTACCTGATTTTTAAAAAATAAACAAAGCAGAATATTCTATATAAAAAGACCATAAGAAGTAATTTCTAGTTAAGTTTTATAGTTGAGTTACCTGCAAACTTTTATGATGTTACTTACCCCACAACTTAACACACATACAAATACACGTCAAACTAAATTAAAGTTTCATGAACAGTGCCTTTACTATGTATAGTTACTCTGATGTTGTTTATTCTGTTCTAATTTCATTAAAATAAGTGTTGATTGGGGACCCATTAAATTGTCTGCAGGATCCTTCAGGAGGTCATTGCCTACAGTTGAAAAGGTACTGTGATTTTCTAGAGGAAGAGGTTGGTTCCGAGGGATTAAACTGAGTTAGGCAAATTAGTGTCACTGTGTGCTTGAGAGCCTGGATTTGGAGAAGGAGGGACCTGGGCTCAACTCCTGGCTCTGCCACTTGCCAGTCACAAACTAGTAGGCATTCTTGAGTTTAAACCTTCTATGAAATGGGAATGACACTTCCTGCCTTGGGGTTTTTAGGATGAAATAAGGGGATATATGGCTGCAAGGTAAGCATTAATTCACACCTGCTGTGATTAGCCATTATTACTTGTTTCAGGACATAATGGATTTTCTCTGACTTATAGTGGTCTTATGTACAGATTGCAGAATCTGCTATGACACAAGTTATGGGACAGTGTTAAGTAGCAGAACAGGTGGATGGGACTTGCTGAGTTGATCTGCTTACCCTTTGGGTTCAGTTCAGGTGACTGCTAGGGTTGGGTCTGTGCTGGCAAACTCTGCTAGTTCATTAAAGGAGTAGGAACTGCGTAGAAGCCTCAGGCAGTCACAGTGTTTTCAGTGCAGAAGAGTTGGTCTTGCTGTCCTTGTTCATGGGTAGGACATTGAAATGAAAGCGTGCGTGTATGTAGGGGTGTGTGTGTAGGTGCATGTGTGTAAGATCAACTCAGGGAGGGCCAGAGGACATACTCTCTTGAGTCTTCACTCTCCATCCTTCCATATTTCACATTTAAAACCAGCTCCTGCCCTTTCTACCCCCCTTTTTAAAGAATGACCAGCTTTTATATTTTAAATAACTTCATAAAAGGAATTGAAGCAAATTGAACATTAAGATTTAAACAAGAAAGTTAAATTCATATAAAGCCCTACCACGAAGAGAAACCCATTTATTAACATTTGGTGTTTTTTCTTCCAGTCTTTTTCTCATGCATTTAAAAAAAGGTGACAATAATACTGTACATCCAAGCATCTTTATAATGAAATTAAAAACTGAGCTGGTGAGATAGCTCTAGAAGTAAGATGGTAGAGGAAGGGGGAAGGACACTGCTGAGTGGGAGAGACAGCACCTCTTACCATCTCCGAGACTGAAGGGTAGCCCTCAATTTAATCTGCCCTCAAGTATTTTGGAACAAGTAAGACTTACTTTAAAACTCTACTCTACTTTCTGCTATTTCTCCCTTATTTGTCATATGCTTCTTAGGTCAGTAAAATAGGTCTTATGCTGTGGAAATTAATATCCCATTAGATTACTGGTAGAGTTGCTGTGTTTTTGTGGAATATGAAAGCCGAATTGTTTCTAATAGTTCCACTAAACATATATATGCTAGTCATAGCTTTTCAACTGCTTCAGGTTCCTCAACCAGCGACCCTACCCAGGTCCTGGGAAAAATCCAGGTGTGATGCAGGAAGTAACCTACCCGCCATGACAGTGCCTGAGTGGGATGTGCTCTCTGAAAATGGTGACCTAACATGAGGCCAATCTGTTTTCTCTTTTTTCCACAGATTTTGAAGCCAGCTTCATAAGGCTCTTGGACAAAATAACAAATGGTTCTCGAATTGAAATAAACCAAACAGGTAAGCTCCTTTTCTTCCCATTCCTGAAAGCACCTACATATGTACTACTTAAACATTCCTCTGTTTCTCACTCCTTTTGATGATATAGATGTATTCAGGTGGAAAAACGGTTTCCTGTCTGAAACAGTTGTTAGGAGGTGTATATGAAATCTGCCAATTTAAGGGGCATACACTTGATTTAAGGAGGTTAGAAGACTGAAAATTTCAGATCAACAAACAAGCACCTCTACTTTTTTTACAATGAAAATGTTTTATACCAACATTTACATACAACTTTTCAAAGCCCATTTACTTATATTGTCACAAATAAAATCTCATGACAAACCCTGTGCTGAATTTTATTTTTTAATTTTGTCTTTTAAAATAAGTTTACATAAGCATATATAAAAAAATTTGAAAGTTCCTTTACCTGTTCCCTCTTCCATTTCCTCCCCCAGGTATAGCCACGGGCACAGCTTGGGGTGTGTGCCCTTGTCTCCTCTACATACATGTGCTTGCACGGGCACTTCTGTATCTCAGACCATCAGTGGGGCCATGCTCTTCATATGTTCTGCCACCAGCTTTCCTTCATTAGCACAGATACCTCAGAGGACTTGCCCTGCCGGGCACATGCAGGCCTATCTCAATATTTCAATGGGCCTCATGTAGTAGTCTGTTGTATGGATGCATGATAATTTATTTACTACTTGCTGATAAACATTCAGGTTGTTTATAGGTTTTTGTTTGTTCGCTATTAGAAACTTCTATCTATGTTGTGTAGGAGAGTGTGGCAGACACCCTTTGGCAGTCTCCATAAACTGTGTACCTTTTCACATATATGCAACAAAAGAAACTCTGACCGTTCCTGTATGTTGACTCTTTTAAGAAAGAAGACAAGCTTGGCTTCCTAAGTGGCCTGGCACCACATGAGACTTGATCTGTAGCTGCATTCAGCCATACCTTACAAAGAATAGGTTTTAGGCAGGATCCTTCAGGTGCCCTTTGCAAGCTGTGATTCTCTTAGTCTTCTTTGGCTTTACTTTGAAATTGCTGGAGATTTTTAGGGACGTTTATATTGGTAATTCAGAGGGCAGGTGATTCTGTTCTTTTCTAGTCACCTCCTGCGTCCACCTCATGTCCCCCCCACCCTTGCCCCCAAATACACCCCCCACACACACACACACACCAGAGTAGAATACTTCATTCTGATGTCTGGTTAATTTCTCATTTGGTTAATTTGTAGGCATAAACCGATTTGCAGAGTTTAGTAGTTGCGTAGGGTTTTGCGTTTTTTTTTTTTGGGGGGTGGCTTTTTGACCTAAAGGATTGGTTTTGTGACTCATTGATAGTATTTAGAATTACTGATGTACAATCCTTCCCTTGAAAAGTGAGGGGAAAAATACAATTCTGATTGTGATTATTGGTATTTTGGGTTTTACTATGGTAAAACCTAAATTTATTCTGTGAAACTCCTAAGAGCTGCTTTCCTTTTGTGTAAGTGAACATATCTCCTTCCTCTAATGTTACATTTATTTATTAATAAATTGTGCCAAAATACATGGCAAAATATTTGGGCAGCAAAAATACCTTGTTTACCCATTTATACCCCCAAATCATCTAGAGTATCTTACTTTGTTTTTCCTCTAATATGCAAATCTGGCAAGAAACTTTTTGGGTTGATAGGAATATATGAAAAAGTGAATAGTAGCCACTAAAGCTATAAAATAAATTTAGATATTTCCATTTGTTACTATTAAATTAAAATAGCTGCTATTAATGGACTTGCCATAAAGTACTTGCCTTTTCTAGGCATCTTGTTTGGTGAGTGTGGTACATGGGAAGTCTTATTTCAAGGGCCTGGAGGAAGCTGATTGCTGGTGTGATGATTTCCGAGCATCATTTGTAAACACCCCCACTCCCACTCCTCCCATCAGCACAGTCTGAGAGTGTGCTGTTAGGAGACTAGGATGCCTATTAGGATCTCTGCTCTGTGCCTTGCCATGACTTTGGCAATTCAGATAGCTTAGGAAAGGGCTTAATTTATTACTAGTTATTAAATTACACTCACAGTTTATTATTACAGGGGCTTGACAGTAATGAGTCAGCTTTTGGAGTGAAGTGTGGGCTCTTAGGAATGGCATTTTGAACTCTCTTGGATGCCCTTGCCAGACTTTCCCCTTGGGACTCACTGCCTCTTTTGCTCTGTGGCACTCTGAGTTTTTTTCCCCCCCTGCTGAATGGCTTTCTTTCCTCTTGTGTAAGGAACAACCTTATATTACCAGCCTGGCCTCCTGTATGGTGGATCCGTGGAACATGACTGCAGTGTCCTTCGTGGCATTGGGTATTACCTGGAGAGTCTTCTTTGCCTGGCTCCGTTTATGAAGCACCCATTAAGAATAGTTCTGCGAGGAGTGACCAATGACCAGGTTGACCCTTCGGTGAGTAGCAAGGCCAAACCATGGCGTGGTTTTCGTTTTGTCTCTTGTTACAACCCAACTTGGAGAAATAAGTTCCCGATAAAGTGCAGATGAACCAAGATTTGTAATCATCAAATCCTGTGACTATTGTTAGCATTCATCAAGGTGCCTTTCATTGTCGTGTCCAAGAGCCTTCAGAACAGATGCTTGCAGTCTCATCATGGATGACATGAAATATGGCTCTGTTGGCTGAAGTGTATTAGAGCGGAGCTTCATAACGTCATGTAATAGCTGAGGCTGGAAGGCAGCAAACCAAAGTTTTAGAAAGAAAATAATATATCCTTGGCATTGCTGCAGCATAGTCTTGACTTACTCAGGCTTCAGCCAACTTTAGGACTTTTTCTGAGAAGAGTTTGCAGATTTAGAAAAGGGCATAAGGGCAGGGAAGGTGTGTGTGAGCTTTGATAGTTTGTGGACACCAGCAATCTATTAAGCATGCTAATTTTCCTGCATGTATGGGAAGGATAGTTTAATATACAGGTGCAGTTTTCGTTGTGGTCACACCTGTCTTAGTGCCAGTCTAGGGTGGGGTTTGGTGTATGTGTGTGTGTAAGGAGAGAGAGATTAGAGCAGTCCTGTCCAGACCTGCCTTATACCTCTCATAAGGAGGGAAGGATCCCCATCTCTGGATGCTCTGTTGTCCAGAGAAGGTATCTTAAAGCTGAGGGCCATGAAGTGAAGTCCTAACTGAGGACTCTTAACTTCACCTCTACAGACATGGAACCAAGACCAATGTAGGCGCGGCTTCTGGGGTGGAATGTGACATGTGTAACTTTCCTAACCAGGAAAGACCATTTAGGTGGCTCAGTGAGCCCCAGAATGGAAACTGCTGGTATTCACCAAGACACATATTAGGGTATAAACCTGGGTAATGTGTTCTTAGGCATTAAAAGACTTATTCCTCAGTTCTTGGGAATTCAGATACATAAACTCTTCCTAGAATCTGAGTACAGTGTAAGATCTGAAATTCTTAACTATGAAGGAATGTTGAATAAACTGTTTAGAATTTTAAACTAATTCCAAATGATTGCTTTTTCCCTGCGTTTTCTAAAAGATTCTAGGAAATGGGCCCTTCAGTTAAAAGTGTTCTTGAGAGGAGGCCTCTACACTTTTAGATTGGAGGGTGGGGAAGGTGCCTTGAATGATGGGGAAAGGCCCTGAAACATATAATACAGGAGACTTTGGCGCTGTTTGTCCCAGTGTTACGCTCTTTCTATAATTGTTAATGATTTTAAAAGCTGTTATTATCACTGGCAATACTAAAAAGTTTTGTATATTAACAGACAAAGATTAGTTGATGAATTCCCCAGAAAGAGAACTTAACTTTTATACAGAGTACTTAAAAACAAAAATCTAGTTCATATGCTGCTTTTGCTAGTTGCACAAAGAAAATGATTTTAGTTAATATTTGGCTCCAACCCAGGAAAAAATAAATACACTTAATCTTGGATAAAGAATAGCTTTTTCAGCCTGTGGCTTCTTCATGTTGCGTTCTCTTTAATGTGTGGTTTCCTCATGCAGTTCACTCTCTGCACCAGGATGAATATGATGAGTTCTGCCCCAAGGAACTTGGTCTCAAGGGTTGGACAGCTGTGAGCACAGCTAGGGAGACTATAAGGCTAAGAGACGGTTGGCTTTGATAGAAGAGGTACAAGCAAAGTGCTGAGGGTTACGGAGGGTTTTCTAGAGGAAGGGAAACCACAGAATCAGTCTGGTTTTTAGGAAGAGAACTCTGGAGGCTAAGAGAAGGATGAACTGGAGAGATGTCACCTAGTTGGAACAAAATGGAGATGGAAATGTAAAAGAAGGGACAGATAGAAGGGTAGTGTGGAGGGGAGACTTCATAATTTGACAACTAATTGGAGATGGGATAGGAGGAAGTGGTCATAAATAATTCCATGATTTCTTTCCGGGTTGTCTTGAAGGATAGTGGTCAGAAAGAATTTGACATGGGGAAGAGGAAAATTGTGGTTGGATGGTGGGTGATGTGTTTGATTTCAGTCCTGTTCCCTGGTATGTTGGCAGGATATCCACATGGGGTTGTCCAGTTGGGAGCTGGAAATTACTGTCTGGAGCCTCAGGGATAGGTCATCAGGATCTTACCTACTGATAGTGAAATTGCTATGAGAATGAGATTGGCCAATGCCGAGGTTGAACACTGGTGGCTTTTGGGCTGAATTATCCCTGCTGGTGTTTTTCCTTTGGCCTGCATTGCGTGGTGGTGTGTGTGTCTGAACTGGGTATTCATGTTTGAACCCCAGATTTTACATTATGATGTGGCAGCACTACATGGCTGTCCTTCTGTGACAGCCATCAACTGGAGCTGACTAGCAGCTGCCCTCTTGGGATAAGGCATGAGCTGTCCAGTTAGCTGGAGGTCTTAGCTGACCTCATCATTCATTTAAATTCCCTTTCTGGCCTCTGTGGGCATTAGAGTTTTTGCCTCACGGTCCCAGGGGCTGAGAATAAGAGAGGAGATAAATGTTTAAGGTGTGCGTAGGGGAAGAGGAGCTGGAGGCAGTGACTGTGGAGATAGAAGTGTTTGGAGAAACCAAACAGAAGTCGAGTTATAAGAAGCCAAGGAGGACCCAGAAAACCATTTTTTGCAGGAGTTGATTTAGGACTGGGCAGGGAGATTCAGCAATGAGAAGTTTTGTTGACCTTTGAGAGAGCAATGTAATTGGAGTATAAGGACAGTCACGGGTTGGGGAATGAGAAAACTGTTGCAAGTTAGGAGATCTTTCCAGAAGGTTAGATAGGATGATTCCCGAAGAGCTGAGTTTGGGAGTTTTTTTTAAGATGAGGGAAGATTTGAGCTTGCTTGTAGGCTGAGGAGAAGTTGTAATGGAGTTGGGGGATTTAATAAGGGTAACTCTTGCGGAAGTCCCAAGGGGATGAGGATTGAAAGGAGAAGTGATGGGCTGAGCCTTATAAACGGGTAGGGATATTTTTTCCCTCCGAGGCGAAAGGATAGATAATGGGGGAGAAATTTTGAGAAGAAAAATTCCAGGAGTTCTCCTTTGAATCTCAAGGATTTGGCACCAGAGCCCCTAGTAGATATTTATTGGTGCCAACAACCTGCTCAGATAGTGAGTGAAAATTCCATCCTTTTCCATTACTGTCCTGGAAGGGTGAAAGAAATACAATAAAGTCTACTATATGCTGGGCACTGTTCTAGTAAATGTATTCATATTTATAGAGTTCTTGTACGAACCCTGTGAAGTGAGTGTTCTTATCACTGTTTCAGACAAGGTAACTGAGAGCAGGTTTCTTCCTTTCTACCTGCTGCGGAGCTGATGACATTTCTACCTGTTGATTGACTGAACTGTCAGAATGATGCCTTTGCCCCGAGGTACCACTCCCGCCAGACTTCTGCCTTCTCTCGCTAACTGCAGTGACTGCTCAGTTTCCTTTAAGCAGAACTTGCAGACCACCTGCACTGTTATAAAACTAGTGTGCAGAGCCGAGGAGACTGTAGAGCATGTCCTGTCCAGCCCCTCATTTTACACAGCAGGAAGCCGAGGCCCCTGGGAGATAGGGAAATGTTTAGGTCTCACAGCTAGTAAGAGGCACAGTGGGACTCAAGCCCACCTCTGCTCTTCCAGCCCTCGGCCCAGCACACTGAGTTGCCTCCCTGTGTGTCAGATGCAGAGTGATTTAGGAGATGGGACCACACCTGAAAGTTACCCTCGAGCTTCTGGCTGGCCCTCAGAGTAAATCTGACTTCATCCTTTATAACTCAGTAGTATAGGTAGGATGAGCCACAGGGTTGTTCTGTTTCTTCACCTCTTTTCCCCCGGAAGAACTGATGGTTGCCTAGTTTCAGGGTGTCATGTGGACAGAGTAACCCACATCCTTGTATCACCCGCTTTTTTTCAGAATCTGGCTTGGCCTTCTCCCCTGCTGCCCTTAAAACTAGCCTAGACTGAATTCTTCTTGGTTTTGGCAACCCCAAATGCATATTTTAAGTATTTGGATGTATTTAGTTTAATATTTCATTGAAATTAGCTAATCTTTAATGGGTTTTCCTTTGTCACTGCTTCTGCCCTACCTGATCCATTCTGAAGACGTCCGTAGGCTTCACAGGTTATTTCTACCTCTGGTTAACTTTCTTATAGCAGAATATTTAGTTGGGGCCTATACTCTGTAGAAAACTTTTGTTGGAGTATCATTCTGTTGAATCCTAGCATGCTAGAGGTGGTAGCAACTTGGAGACAGAGAGGCTAAGCCGCTCTCCTTAGAGACAAGGGAACTCACACAGTTGGGATTTTCTTGTCTGAGGCCATGCAGCTACCTAGGGGCAGAGACTGACCCAGGACCAGGGCTTTCCCTACACCCCCTGCTCCCATGTTGCAGCTTAGGCACCATTCACTGACTTGTCAGATAAACGTGATTTGAATGTCATCCTTATACTCGGAGGAATCCATAAATGAACAAGAAAGGACCCCAGGCCTCGTATGAGCTCTCAATAGGGAGACGATAACAGTAATACTTGACATAGTCTTTCTACTAAGTGTGCACTTTGGGATTTGTGCTGCTGCGGGTAGTTTGAGGCTATCATTCCGCCCCACCCTTACTTTCTTGTAGAATCACCACCTACCCTTTAACTGCCTGTGTGGTGGACATCAGCAGGATTCTCAGGTAGCTGCTGGATAGTTCATTCGGTTTGCTTTGGCTCGGAGTGCCACCAGCTTTAAACATTAAACAACCATGATGGGAAAGATTAATTAAAAAAACTGATGTTTTCTTCCGTAGTGTTCCTACCTGAAAGAGTGGGCAGAGGTCCCAGTTTGTTTTCTATATGAGCCTGGTAGTTTCTTAGTGTTTTTTGCATGATGCACGTAATGCTCATGATGATGACTCTTAAGGTAGGTGTAGGTCTCTATGAGGAAAGGGGCTCAGAGGAGCTGGTGGCTTGTAAAATTGCAGTCTGACCTGGGAGTGGAGCCGGTCCATGTCCTCAGTTGTAAGCCAGCATCCTTTCTCTTTACTAGACTACTTCGTCTCCGTGGTTGCTGTGCCTCAATCTGCTTTGTGGGCTCTTCTTTCCATTTGCTCAAGGTTTAATGAAACTTGTTTTTATTCTGAAATAATTCCACAGGTTGATGTTCTTAAGGCAACAGCCTTACCTCTCTTGAAACAGTTTGGGATTGATGGTGAATCATTTGAGCTAAAGGTAAGAATATGAATTGTTGGCTATGTATATATATCTGTGTAAAACATTTCATTACTAACTCACTGGAAGAGCTATATGAATGTGTGTGTGTGTGTGTGTGTGTGTGTGTGTGTGTGTGACACATTTGAAGTAATTTATGAGAAGACCCACAGGACTCATGATCCAAACATTACAGGCTTTGAACTAAAAGGGACCCTAATAGTATTGACAATAGTAGCCAGCAATTACATTTTACTTTCTTTGTGGTAGGTGCTTTTGTAAGCATTCTACATATATTAATTCCTTCTCATAACAATTTCATTCATGTTGCTCAGCTAGTAAGTAGTGGAGCCAGGATTCTGTCCATAATGCCTCTCTTTTCTATATCATCTAGATATAATTTGTGTCCTGGGCCGTCCAACCTGGATTTGCCCCTGAGCATTTTCAGTGTTTTCAAAACCTACTAGAAGTAATGTAAGCATCTCTTTGTTTGCTATTGAAAGGAATTACATCAAGTTAGTGTGATAACTAGATATCTTAAGCTGATTAGCATCTCTACTTTTTAAATCAATGTTTTTAAACAGGGGAAATTACTTTATTTTGATTTAATACAGTCATGTGCCGCATAATGACATTTCATTCGGTGACAGACCGCATATACAACTGTGGTCCCATAAGATTATAGTGAAGCTAAAAAATTCCTGTCACCTGTGACCTTGTAGCTGTTGTAACATCACAGTGCAGTGTATTACTCACATGTTTGTAGTGGCACTGGTGTAAACAAACTTACTGCTCTGCCAGTTGTATAAAAGTAGAGCACAGACAGTTATGTACAGTACGTATTACTTGATCATGATAATGAATGACTGGTGTATGTATTTACTATACTTTTTATTGTAATTTGGAGTATACGTTTCCTTATAAAAAAAAGTTTGCTGTACAACAATATGCCATGTCATACTGGCAGCAGCCGCTCACATCTTGTGTTTACTGTGTCTCTTGAGTGCATCATTTTCTCTGTGCTTGATTTAATCTCATGTTGTTTTGTTCATCATGGCCCCTAAGCATACAACATCCATTGCTAATGTTGCCATTAAGAGGCCACATTGAGCAACTGACCTGGAAATGAAATTAAAGCATGATTAAGGACTACAAAGGTGGAAAACCAGTGATGGTTATTGCTCTCCAGACAGGCATGTCCCAGTCCACCATAGCTACAAAAGAACAAAGCGACAGAAACTCTTAAAGGGTCTGCTTCATTGAAGGCAACCAGACTAACAAAAATTGGAGAAGGGCCTATATCAGACGTGGAGCTTCTAATGATCTCCATTGAAGACCAGACACAGAAGCGTATCCCCCTCAGCACCATGATGGTTGTGGCCAAAGCAAAAAGTTTGTTTGCAAGTAGTTGAAAGAAAAGGCTGGACCTGACCACAATATTGAATTTACTGCTATCTCTTGGTGGTTTAAACGATTCAAGAATGGTTATTCATTACATAATGTAAAAGTGATGAGTGTGTGAATGCCGATTTTTGGAAACTCTAGATAAGCTGATTGTGGAGGAAAATTACTTGCCAGAGCAAATATTCCATATAAATGAAACCTCCCTATTCTGGAAACGGATGCCTGAAAGGAAGTTCATCCATAAAGAGGCCAAGTCAGTGCCAGGTTTCAAGGCTTTTAAGGACAGGATAACAATCTTGCTTGGAGGCAGTGTTTCAGGCTACAAATTGAAACCCTTTGTGATCTGGCACAGTGAAGGGCCTTTAAGCATATCGGTAAGCACACACTGACAGTATTCTACAGAAGCAGTAAGAAGTCATGGATGACCAGCTGCTCTTCTAAGATGCCGTCCTGAATTGTTACATCATTGAAATGGAAAAGTATTGTTTGGAGCATAACATACCTTTCAAGATTTTTGCCTATTGTTGATAGTACTCCCAGACATCCTCCTTTAATTGGTGATCTTCATCCCAATATCAAAGTAGTATTCTTCCAAACACCACCTCTTTGATTCAACCAATGGATCCAGGAGTTCCAACAGCTTATAAGTCCTACTACCTGAAGAGGACCTTGGCCTGAGCTGTTGATACAGCTGAGGAAGACACTGATACAGCTCTGGAAGGATTACATCTACGACTGCATCAAGGACCTTGCTTGGGCTTGGGGGTAATGTCACTAAGGAGTATGTGTGTGTGTGTATGGCATCTGGAAAAAGACACTCTAGAGGTCTGTCCATGAGGTTTGTTGATAGGATTTGCTAAGGGTGAGGAGGTTGTAAAAATCACCAAGGCTGCGGTTGAGATGGCATACAACTTGAACCTGGGCATAGATGGGTGAGGGGAAGAGCCCCTAGAGGTAGTTCCTGAGGAGCTGACTTACGAGGAGTTGTTTGAACCTGAACAGGAATATGTGTAGCTGTAGAAGCGGCAAGAGAAAAGGAAACTACCGAAGAAAAAGAAGAGTCCCCAAGAAAATTGACAGTGAAGGGTTTAGCAGAAGCTTTTGCAGACCTCAACAAGCTCCTTAAAATGTTTGAAAACATGGACCTTAACACCGAAAGGTTTTCAGTAATAGAGAGGAATGTTCATGGTATATTTATCTGCTTACAAGAAAATCTATGATGAAAAAAGAAACAAACCAAGAAAACCACCATGGACATATTTCTGAAAAGCATGACTTCTCGTCGAGTAGGGCCTCAGGCAGGTCCTTCAGGAGGGATTCCGGAAGAAGGCCTTGCTGTCATAGGAGATGACAGCTCCATGCTTGTTATTACTGTCCTTGAAGACCTTCCAGTGGGACAAGATGTGGAGGCGGAACAAAGTGATATTGATGACCCTGAGTCTAGGCTAATGTGTGTGTTTGTGTCTTAGTTTTTAACAAAAAAGTTTAAAAAGTAAAAAAGAAAACCTTACAGAATAAGGATATAAAGAAAGAATATACTTTTTACAGCCATACAATGTATTTGTGTTTTAAGCTAAATGTTATTACAAGAGTTAAATTTAAAAAATTAAAGTTTACAAAATAAAACATTTACTGTAAGTGAAGGTTAATTGTAAATAAATTTAACCTAAGTGTACAATGTTTATAAAGTCTACAGTAGTGTACAGTAATATCCTGGACCTTCACCTTCACTCAGCACTCTCTCACTGACTTACCCAGAGCCACTTTCAGTCCTACAGACTCCGTGGTAACTGGCCAATACACATGTACCATTTTTTATCTTTTATACCATGTTTTTACTGCTCCTTTTCTGTTTAGATATGTCTAGATATACAGATATTTAGCATTGTGTTACAGTTGCCTATAGTGTACAACTCTGTAGCCTAGGAACAATAGGCTATGTTCATATAGCCTAGGGATGTGTATGTAGTAGGCTGTCCGATCCAGGTTTAAGTACACTTTATGATGTTCCAACGATGATGCAGTTACCTAACGACGCATATCTCAGAACGTATCCCTGTCATTAAGTGGGGCATGACTGTAATTTAGAGTTTTGATAGATCAGTTAATTACATAGGAAAGGGGCTCCTGATGATTAACAAATGGGATTAGCTCATGAAATAGGCCAATCCCTCGTTTTAAGGATGAAAACCTCCTTGACTTTGGGACATGCTGGCCCTGTGTCTGCTGCTATTTCTGATACACCATGGGCATCTTTATTCATCATGTGCCCTCTTGGAGCTAATGTGCTGTAATGTGCTGTTGAACTTAAAGGGAATTCTAAGTTGAATATGAAAGAGCTATCTCCCTTCTAAGGAAGAGCCCCTTGATGTAAATCTTACCTGGTTGGGTGTCAGGGTCATCTGCTCTTTGCTACCTCGTTGCCTCTTTCTCGACATATATGCAGATTGTGCGGCGGGGAATGCCTCCTGGAGGTGGAGGTGAAGTGTTTTTCTCATGTCCTGTGAGGAAGGTCCTGAAGCCCATTCAGCTCACAGATCCAGGAAAAATCAAACGTATCAGAGGAATGGCGTATCCTTTGCATTTGGTTCAGATTTCTTACTTTTTTTCTCACCTCACTAAGATAATAATGACTCATAACAACTTTACTTCTTCCCGGGGGCATTTAGAGTTGACAAGTCATGGAAAAGACTTAACAGTGAAATTGTAATTGTTGGCTGAGATACGATGCTTTATTATCTGCCTCTCCATGACTAGATTGATTACCGTATTTGCCGGCGTATAAGACGATTTTTTGGCCCTGAAAAATATGCCTCCAAGTGGGGGGTCGTCTTATACGCCAGGTACACTTCAGATAGACTGCCCATAGTGCTTGCCCCGTGCCATAGTGGCCTCCCGATGCCCGCCCACTTCATTCCACATATCGTTCAGGCATCAGCAGCGCTGCTGGGTGTATGCTCGGCTGTTATGCGATTTTGCTGTTATGCGATTTTACCACACTCGCAAAATCGCACACAGCCGACCATACACCCAGTATGATAGCGCAAAATCGCGAATCGCGATACCATACTGGGTGTATGGTCGGCTGTGTGCGATTTTGCGAGTGTGGTAATTCGGGTTACCGTTATATTTCTTTACATATGCATTGAAGATTCGTGATTTTGCGCTATCATGGTGCCTGTTAGAATGTTGAAGAGCTCGCACTTGCGCACTAGTGAGGTCCCAGGGAGATGCTGATGCAAGGGTGGACCAGACTGCTATAGTGACAGGGCGGGCAAACAGGGAGCAGGGACCAATCAAATCAGGCTTTGTATACAGCCAACAGCCAACCACAATACTGCACCATTGTACAGTACAGCATAGAAAATGTCGACCAGTCAAACCCCTATCATCCCTATCATGGCACCAGCCAAAAGAAAGAAGTATGATGCAAATTTTAAACTGAAAGTTATAAACTTTGCTAAGGAAAATAATAATTGTGCTGCTGCAAGACAATATGGAGTAACAGAAAAGATGGTTCGGGACTGGAAATCAAATGAGAAAGCATTAAAGAGTATGCCAAGGGGTAAGTGTGCATTAAGAAGAGGCACCCCACACTGGCCAGAACTCGAAAAACATGTAGCAGACATGGGGGCTCAACATCGCCAAAACGGTTACGTGGTGACACGAAATACAATACGCTTGTTTGCACTTCAGTGGGCCAAATCAAATCTGATATTGTTTTACCTTTTATTTGGTGTGTGGAAGGTGTGCGGAAGAGGGGGTAGTCTTATACGGCGAGTATATAACAAACTCTGTATTTTGAGTGGAAATGTTAGGGGGTCGTCTTATATGCCCAGTCGTCTTATACGCCGGCAAATACGGTAATTCATTTTCTTTATCAGTTAACACTTAAATGGCTCCCGTGTATGTGATACTCTCCTGTGGGCTTTGGTTTGGGGACTACCAATACACATGCATTCCCTCCCTCAGAAGAGCTCATTATCTGATGAAGGAAACATATGTAAACACATATTTATGATATAATATGTAAAATGATACAGACATATGTGCCCTGGGCTGGGGGAGCTAAGAGTAGAGAGTGGCTACTTTTGTCTAGAGGATGTAGGAGGATTGGAACAATAATGAATAATATCTCCTATGTATTAGTGCTTACTCTGCATGTATTTAATTGATAATTATTTTATATACTTAATTTATTTTTAAAAAACCACTGTATTGAGGTATGATTGACATCCAAAAAGCTCTACATATTTAAAGTGTACAACTTGACAAATTTGGAGATAAGTTTATGTTTGTGAAGTACAATGCCATAAACATATCCATCCTAAAGTTTCCTCTCGCCCTCTTTATTTTAAAAAATTTCATTTTTTGTTTTTTGGGATAACACTGCAAATTTTCAAGTACAGCACACAATACAGTGTTATTAACTATAGACATGTTGAACAGTAGATCTCTATGTCTTAATTCATCTTGTGTAACTGGAACTTTGTACTCTGACCAACACCTCCCCATTTGTCTCCCTCTAGACCCTGGCAACTAACATTCTACTTTTTGCTTCTGTGAGTTTGCGTATTTCAGATTGCCACCTAAGGGCCACGGCCTGTATGTAGGGCAGGGGGAGGGGTCCCCAGGTTGATGGATAGTTAAATTGATATCATTGTTGCCCAAAATGCTGCAGTTAGTTAATGGCCTTGTACATGAAATCCTACACACTTTCAGTTCTGTTTCAGTTTGTTTTTTCTCATTGGAGATTGGTTTCCTTAATGCTGTACCGTGGCAGTGAACTCAGCTTGGAATCCTCTCAATTCTCTGTGCTCTGGAAATGTGATTTCCAGCATGTGCTCTGTTTGTTTTGACACAATCTTGTGGTAACAACATGGATTTCACAGAGGCTGCCACCTTGGGGTCCCGCGTGTACTTTCTGCACAGACGGGTGTGCAAAAGCCACATGAGTAAGCCTTTGATGACTCTGGGAAACGGGGAAGCATCCTGTGTTGTCCTAAAACAGAGGAGAACATGAAAGCTGAAAGCGGTGGTGTTCGGGGAACCTGGGGTGTGACTTTGTTCCCTAACTTCTCCTTTGGTGTTCTTAGAACCTTCTTGATATAGACTCTGAGCCAGAGAGACACTCGTGAGGGCCCAACTCCTCCCTTTGCTTGTGCCTGGAGATAGGATGCCTGAATCCTCCCCAGTCTTCCTCTAAACTCCCCAGGAAAGCGAAGCAGCGCACTTACTTAGCGCCCTGTCTGAAAACCAAACATTCCAGCCACTGCCCTGCAGAGCTGCCCATTTCACAAACACCTTTAAGGAATGAGGGTTTGAATTGAGATCACTTTCTTGGCCAGTATTGGAGCCTGAGAAAAAAGCTGCCTTTGGAAAAGCTTTCAGCTGGTTTTGTGGTTTTTTACTTACAAGGCTGGTTAACTTGGGCTGAGCTTGGAGGTTGTATTCCCCACAGGAGGGCTCGAGTTGGGAGAACTGTCCCCACTCTTGTGTGCATTTGTGGTTATAATGAGCTACACCACCCAGAGTGCATTTTTTCCCTCTCTGGCCAAGTGGCCAGGGCCTGGGGGGAGCTGGGTTGGTTCTTGCCAGCAGCTGTGACTGGGCAGTGCATTTACCATTTATTTAATGCCACCCACACTCATTCTCCACCCCCCATCTGATGCGGGATGAGAGGAAAAGGAGCACTCTGTTTTAGTTTTATAGTGCTGTCCCAGTAGCTCATGATCTGGTACATACGAGTTTAATGAAGAAACGGGTAGAGGTAGAAGACGGGCGTGAGTTAGAATTTGTGGGACAACCCAGTTTCCTTTGTTTTACTGTAGGAAAGGTACTTAGGGAATCATTCTCTGTTTCTCTCTCTCTCTCTCTCTCTCTCTCTCTCTCTCTCTCTCTCTCCCCCTCTCTCCCTCTCTCCTCCCCTCTCCCCTCTTAAATACGCTCGCGCTCTCTCTCTCTCTCTCTCTCTCTCTCTCTCTCGCTCTCGCTCTCGCTCTCGCTCTCGCTCTCTCTCTCTCTCTCTCACACACACACACATACACACACACACACACACACACACTCACACTCACGCATTCCTTGGCTTTCCCTGATATAAACCCCCAGGAGGTTTGGGAGTTCTGTATGGACTGTAGCTATGAATTTGTCTCTCTTGGATATGCGTTCTTAATATGGTATTCATAAAGGAGCTTCAGGATGTTCATATTCCTGAAATTGTCTTCAAAAGTGTGTGTTCATGTGTTTCTTGAGAGAGGTTCCATAGCTTTCATCAGATTCTCAGATCTGATTCCTAAAAGGACAAGAACCTCTGCTCTGGGATTTGAATCTTGGACTAACAGTAAGAAAAGCAATAGTTGACGTTCGCTGGGCTCTGACCATCCACTAAGCATCGCTAAGCACTTTGCATGCATTATTTCATTTGAGATTCTAAACTCAGTGAGGAGAATATTATGACTATCGTTCTCTTGCTGATGAGGAAGTGAAGGCACAGAGAATAGCACATTGGATCCAGTATGATGCAGTTCAGTGGAACTGGGACTTCAACACAGATAGTCTGATTCTAGAACTCGTAGTGTTCCTTGGTGGGGCCTCCATGTCAGCTCAAATTGGCTCCATAGTGACTCTGAGATGTAGCTGGCTTTAAAGCTCCCTTCTGTTCACTTCAGTGCCCTGATTCTAGTATAGACTTCCACTGGCCCTGAATTGGCGCGATTACCTCTTGGTTTCCACATCTCTAGATGGCAGGGAGGGCAGATTGACTTTGGGAAGTGGATCTGTTTAATTTTGAATCTTAGCTCTGTGACCCAGTTGTCCTCAGTGTAAGCCCTGGAACCAGGAATTCTTGGCCCTTGTCGAAGGGTTACCATGAGTGTAAAATAAGTTGATAAAAACTTTGGGAACTATGAATGCTGTGGGATTATATGTCATTATAATGACATTTGTGCTCTCCTAGGAAGAGTGGGCAGCCTCAGGCCTCAGCAGAGCACCTACCTGGTCCAAAGGGTATGAGACCTGGGACTGTTTGTCTAAGCTGCCTGTGGTCAAAAGTACATTCTGGACAGAAGAGGTGGTGATGTAACTGGGCTCTGTGTGTATTGAAAAATCCCTCTTTGCTCTTTCCTCATTTCAGGTTTGTCCTTTGAGTCAAGTCAAATATTTATCGAATATTTCTGAGTACAAAAGTAGTGTATTAGAGAGTTGTGAGGGATACAGCAGCAGAACCCCTTTCCTTATGGAGTGTGCGGTCTCGTTGACGAACAAAAATGTGTGTATATGAAGGGAGATGTATGGTAAGTTCAAGTGCAGACTACAGTTGGGGGCTGACCTGGAGGGTTTGAGGAGAAAGAGGGAACTCAGTAATGGAAGAATGAAAGAAGGCAGTTCAGGATGAAGAATTTGGAGAGTTTGTCTGGGTGGAGGGGGTGATATTGCTGGGTTGAAGATGAACACAGCGGGCTGGATGGTCCGACAGCAAGATCCAGGAGGGCTTGGAGTTCTTGGGAGATTCTTCACTTGCGTAAGGAAGATTGGTCTGTGTAATGTTCTGGATAGATCAAAAAGGGAAGCTAGATGCTAGTCAAGGTTTTGCACAGACTCAGCTTTTTTGTTTCTGCAGTTCAAAGGAAAATTAAGTGTGTCATTGATAGCAATTTTTGAAGAGTTGAGCTGGAATGGACATACCATGCACCTCGTTTCCCTGTTGGATTTGCCACATGACGTTTGTATAAGGGTAGTCGGAAAATCACATGTTATTACTTCTCTGTTCCTTTAGCCCCTTGTTCCACATATGCAGCTAGTTCATGACCGCGCATTGCACATTGAAAATGCTCAGTACGTATTTTTTATTTGATTTGTAGGGTTAGGGAGAGCCAGTCTCTGTAATAATGTCTAATTTTAAGTAATAGTTTCCATTTCCTCAAGCACCAGCTTTTTCGCTTGAGTTGCTAATATCATCCTCCTTTCCTTTCTGGGGGTGCCCTGTTGTAAAAGTGCTAATTACCAGTATTGTGATCATAAGTTAACAGTTGTGAGGCGTCTGTGGAGTAATTGATACTTAAATAATTGGAAATAGACTCTGTAAGTTAGAAACAAAACAAAACAAAACAATAACCTGTTTAGATCTTTATACACAATAGCCACCATGCTCTTTCACTAATCTTTTTCTGGTTTCTCTGTCAACAGACCAGGGGATGGATTAGACAGCCCCAGTGTGGTGTCTGTTCTGGTCTTAAGTTCGAAGAGAAAGACTCATTGGTTGCAGCAGTGGGGATGGTCAGAGAATACGTACTTTGAAGAGCTTGGCTCCTACCACACAGAGAGGCAAGGCAGTTGCCTTCGCTTGTTCCAAAATTGCATTGAACTGTTTCTAAGGGCAAGGGGATGAGTAGGAAGTCTAGCGCAGGGTTGGGAGGTTTTACTTTCCAACTCTATTGTTTGGATTTTTTTTTACTATGAGCATTTAAGCCTTTTATAATAATAATGTAAAAATTATATTAATTAAATAAAAAATAATATAAAAATTGATGATAGTACTATACAGTTAAGTAATGAAATATAGCTAGAAAATAAAATGGAATTAGAAGTCCCAGTTTTTATTGCAGTTTCACAAATCTTTGCCAGCTTTATAACCGCCTTTTCTCTGTTCTGAAGTCAAAGCAGCATGACACCCTTAACTATAGTTTGCAGGTACTCCGTGCGTGTATCACCTCAAATGGCTAACCGGATTGTGGATTCTGCAAGGAGCATCCTCAACAAGTTTATACCCGATATCTATATTTACACAGACCACATGAAAGGAGTCAACTCTGGGAAGTAAGTGTTTGTGCATTTTTGGAGCCTAATTTTGCAGCTGCCCTGGCCTTTTCCAGGCTCCTGTTCTGATTGAAGTTAGAGCTGCCAGCTCTGAGGTTGGGCAGCCAGAGGAAGAACAATTTCAGAATTAACTTCCTTCTGACTTATTGCCAGTGCCACCAACAACTCCTGTCACATAGAAAGCAAGTGTCTCAGTGGCCAGTGCTGGGAGATGAAGAGTTTAGTCCCTAGCTGAGGGGAATGAAAACCTAGCTATTAATAAACAGCTCTTCAAGCTTTAAGTCCCATCTGCACTCTGTTCCCACAAAAAGTAAACAAGTTCATCTACTCTGAGTAAATAACAATTTAGGGGTAAAAAAAATCCTTTGTTAGCCTAAGTGCCAGTCAAATTCTGTCTCCATCAAGGGAACAACATCCTTAGAGCCAAAGGAAGTTGGCTTTGAATTTGAATTTGGTTTAGTGAAAGCCTTTGTGGAAAATCTCACTTTAGAAAATAAAAAGTTGATGATCTATGTAATGAAAATATCTGTTTTAGGCTTTGGTTGTATATTTAGAAACAAGTTAGGGAAGCAAGTAAAACCAATTTTTTTTTTTTTTTTTTTACTGTGAAAATGTTAAACATAAAAGTTGGAAGTAAACACCCATATATTCCTGTACAGGGAGGGCTGCGTGTTATGGGATCGCTGACCTTTGTGAAGCCCAAGGGAAAGATGAAGGTGATTTCAGAAACACGGTGGCTCATAGTCCAAAGCAACAGAGGTGGTGGTGTCAGAGGTTAGCGTTGGGAAAGCATTTGTGTGCAAAGCTGGCCCTTTCTTCTGGGGTTTGGAAAGGTCAGTGATGGTCCCAAACCTTTGGTGTATTGTTCAAATATCACCAGTGTCCTTGTTCATACCGTGGGAGTGATAATGCCTACATCCTTAAGTTACTGTAAAGATGAAAAGATCAGATATGTAAGCCACTAATACAGTGCCTGGCACATAGTAGGTGCTGTAGAAATGGTAGCTGCTGAGGTTATTCTTTGCTTTCTCTTCTCTTCTTGCCCAGGGGGATTACAGAGGGATGGGGCAGGATAGGTACTACCAGCAGGTGTCTGAATGGCTTCCTCTCCATAGTGCCTTTTGTTTGGTCTCTGCCTCTATCAAAGAGTGGCCTGGAATGAAGCAGAGCAGGCCTGAAGACCACACTGCCGCCAGCTATAGTATGGCTTTTTATACTGCCGCTGACTCGGCTGGCTCTAGGGCATGGGCTGGTCCCATACTTGCTAATGGTGAGTAGGAAGCTCATGCACGGATCAGGATGTGGGTGTATGTAGACTCGTGGGCCATCACCTCCAAGCTCCCCCGCAAAAATTAAAACCAATATATGCTGTTAAGTTTGTGTTTAGTTTTTTAACTCTTAAGTTACAAGTGACAAACAGTGATCTTTCTTCTCTGTAATGAAATTATAAAGTCATGGGTGGGTATTTTCTTCTTCTACGTCAGTGAAGTATCCATGTGAGTTAGGCTTATTGAAACCTGGAAGTGAGAGTTAATGTAGTGGCCATGGCCCAGAGCCTTGGGGGCCAGCACTTCTTGATGGTCTACGTCAGTGCTTTGACCAACAGGCATACCCTGTCTAGTGTGGTCCCATTTTGACGCTCATGTGATGACTTAAAAAAAAAATCTATTCTTTACCAGTTGGAAAGTTTGGGAGGCTTGTCACTTATAAACTGTACTAATGTGCATCTTCAGTGAGGTCACCTGGTGACCAGCTGCTTTGTCAGCGTAACTTGAAATAGGACTGACAACACACACTGCAAATGAGAGGGAAATTAGAGTAAGGTACATAAAGCTTAATACGTTATCTTGTTCTCAAGATAACAAATATAATATATTCAATGGAACAATCTCAATCAAATATAAAGTTTATTGTAATAACAAGTACAAATACTCTAAAAAATTCATGTGGATGGGAAAATTTGGAAGTTCTTAGGAAATTCAGGTAAGTGGGTTAAAGCAGTGATAGTAGCTTCTCTTCAGGTTCTCCCTCCTCTCCATTTTTACTCTTTATTTTTACATACCACTGCTTCTACTGCTGAGCTGGACGCCCCCTCCCTCCTCTTGGTCAAGTGCCTCAAAGGCAACTTGAGATTGTGCTAGAATGTCCCATGATGATGAGTGGGTGGCATGGCATTAGACTGTTAAGCATTACTCAGAGTGCCCCAAGACCTTTGATTAAACAGGTAACTCACTGCAGCCCCTTCTCTTGGCAGGTGTTATTAACCCTGGGCTGCATAGACAATCAAATTTTTTTAAAGAAATTAACGACTGGTCATTATAGTTCCTCCCTATAGTGAGCTAATATAGTGCATTTGAAGCATCATTAATTTTACACATAGTTTTCCTGAAACAAACGTCATGGTTAGTTTTGTGCCAGATGCATAGAAGGTGTTTCATGAACACGTGGGTTGAATTGTGTCAAAAGAGGCAGGTCTGTATTGTGATTGCATATGGACTGTACTGCTCGGAAGGCTGCTGCTCCTTTCCTGATGACCTAATTACCTAAAAGACACTGGACAAAGTAGATTTGAGTGTCAGATCTGGAAACTTGGTGGAGAGATGCTTGTTTTTATTGTTTATGGACTGATTTTGTTTTGTGTCAGACTGGTTGTCACTAAAGCCTGTGAGGGCAGGAACTGCTGTGTTTACCATGGTGCCTCCGGTTCCTGGCCCATGGAAGCTTTGCCCCAAATGTTTGGCTGCGTGAGTGAATGAGTGAGCTGTGGTTCTAAACAAGGGGGTGTTAGGTTCTGGCTGTTGGGTGGTAGAAACACAGTGGGAGAGAACATAGTGCCAGCTCCTTCATTGTAGTAATTGAAGCCTGAGTTAGAGGTGTCTCTTGGGGACAGAATCATAAAGGTGTGCCTTGTCTAGGCCCTTGCTGGCATGTGTGGTTATTTTTCATTATGGGGGAAAAGCCTGATGTTTCTCCAGAAGAGCTGTAATGAGGTGGTCTTTGGGCTGCTTACACCTTCTGGGTTGGTTGTGAGTGCAGGCTGTGGTGGAGAGCTTGTGTAGACTTCGGAGGGAGACCTGCGATTGGAACACACCTCAGTCACATTCTGGCTGTGTGGACTTGGTGCAGGCTGATTAATCTCTCTCCATTTCCTCATTTGTAAAATGGAGACGTTATATCTACTCTGCAGAAACTGGCAGAAAGTAGATGCTCAATGTCTGGTAGCTCTTGTTAATGTTGTTATAAACTCTCATAATAGGATTTTTTACAGTGTAGGAGGGGTGGGAGAAGGTAGGGAACCATAGGCTAATAGGAAGAGCAGTGCAAACTTGCATCTTCCTTGGTTCTGCCATGTGTGCCCTCACGAAGTAATGTATATGTCCAGTGTAAGCTAGAAGGAACCGTAATGAGGCTTGGTGTAACCAGACAGAATGCCGTCAGAAAGACGTTTGTCTTCTCTTTCCTTTTGCTGGTGAATGTGAGCCCCACTTCATTAACCCTACTCAGTGTCTGTGCCTTTGACTCCCCAGGTCTCCAGGCTTTGGGTTGTCCCTGGTTGCTGAGACCACCAATGGCACCTTCCTCAGTGCTGAACTGGCCTCCAACCCCCAGGGCCAGGGAGCAGCGGTGCTTCCAGAGGACCTCGGTCAGAACTGTGCCAAGCTGCTGCTGGAAGAAATCTATCGGGTATGTCCTCACCTCTGCAGGTCTGGGAGAGGAGCCATCAGGAAGCAGTTCATTATCTCTCATTCTTACTCTGTAGCAACTGTCTTTCAAGAGCTTAAGCCAAGGAGTTAACCTCTTTCTACCCATTAAACAGTTTAACATGAACTAGGTTAATGGATTATCTAAACTAGTCAGTGAGCAGACATCCAGCCCCCCTGGACTGGGACATAGGGCAGGTAAGTTTTAACAGTTAGGAGAGGAAAGAACTGGAACATTCATACAACAGAGAGGAGGTAAAAAAATGAAGTAGGTTAGGTGGGGACTGGCCAATTCAAGAAAACACATTGCCCTGACCAAAGCAGGCACTGTCTCCTCGCTCAGCTCTCCCAGTTGTTGCCATGTGGGAATGAGGGCTTATTGTCGTCAGGTTTTTCAAGAGAAGTTGGGAGTCAGGATTTGTGTGTGGCCATTGATTCAGATAGAAAATAGTGTCACCAGGCTTGATTTGCAGTGTGTTCTGGAACATAGAAGAATGTTTAGGGAAGGGAGGCCTGTGTCAGAGCACGGCAAGGGCTTCGGAAAGAAGAGAACACAGATCAAAGAAAGGCGCCACGAAGCTGAAGACAAGACTTCCTCTGTTGCCATTTTGCATCTGCAGGTCTGCTGGTGGGACACGGCTCAACCTGTCCTCTCAGGTGCCACAGTTTTTTCTCTGTTGATTCATATGAGCAACACGCACGTATGCATACATACACGTTTACTCTGTTTCCCAAAAATAGTTGAGGTGACCTAAAATAAGCAAGAAAGAAATTGAGAGGGAAGGAAAGATGGTAGCAGGAGAAAGAAGGTGAAGCTGCCTGCAAAGACTTTCTTCGAAGTCCTGTATGCTTGGTTAGAGGAGAGCCTCAAACCTGGCTCCAAGACTGCTGTTGCTGTGCACTGTCTTTTGCCTTGGTTCCATGTCAGAGAGGTGAGACCTTTTCCTTGACATGCAGAATCTAGGACAGGCTCCAAGGGATGGTCATTTCTCTGCTGTGTAGGTGAGGCCCCACATTCTTGAACTGAGCACTAGCAAGAACTGTATTCTGGATGATTTGCTCTTGGGTGGTGTATAATATTCGTAAGTTGTCTTTTTTTCTTCAGCTGAAGAGCCTTTCATCTCTGTATTTATCTGTGTATTCTCAGTTATTAGACATTTCTATGATTCTTTCCTGAAGTCTCCAAGGAAGTTTTGCCCTGTTTGAAGTAGCAAAGGTCATATGTAAGCCCAGTGAAATAAAACCAGTAAAGCAGGGGTACAGTGGTGATTTTATTTTTTAATTTCTCCTTTTGCTGCCGTAATTTATTAATCACTGTGGTAGGGTGATGCCTGAGGTCGTGGGTATTGATCCCTACACAGGCCTCGCTAAGAAACAGTGTATGCCACAGTCTGCTTCTGTGATCCAAGTCATCCTTGAAAATACCTCATTGGTTTCAAGGTGGAACAAGTAAGAATGAATTGTCTCAGAGTTAATTAAAATGTCCAAGTCTTAAGTGGTTTTATTTAATGTCCATCTAATTAAAATGGAAGACAAAAGACCTATAATTGTGTCTTTAGTAGAGTAATTCCATCCCCTCTACTCACAATTCAGCTGGGAAATAGTGGAGGAAAGAAATATCCTATCAAATGAAATCCTGAAGGAGGAAGTATCTTAAAGATTTTGTGCAGTCACAGTCTGGCTCAGCTTTTTGATGCTAAATCAGCCCAGTGTTTGATGCTTAATATAGTGATTTTTTAAAATTTTATTTGAAAGTTCGCAGTAAATGATCAAGAGGTTATCCTGTCATTTACTTAGTTTAGGAAGTTTGTCATCTAGACCTTTGTGAGGCCAGAATGTGCTTGTGATACGTGCGTTCCTAAGCCCTCGGGACTTGTTTAGGTTTCTCTCCCTTGGTGTGGCGGTGGCTGGCAGGCCCTCTCTCTGACCCTGGGGATCCCTCCATCTCTTTCCAGTAGACCAGGGGGAATTGGAAGCATCACATTACGGAAGAGCCCAGAGGGAACCCACGGGCACAACTGGAGTGTGTTTTATATCCCTGTAAGTAGCATATTATAGGCCTCAGGGTGAAAGCACAGCCCACCAGTCCACAAGAGAGAAAATGTGCAACCTGGATTAGATTATTTTATTTTTCTTTATTCTAGTTAAGTTCTACTTTAAACCATTTCGTGGTGCCTGTACCAAGTTTGTTTTAATCATTAAGAAAACTTCCTTTGTGTGTGCCTGTGATCTTCAGTTGTTCAAAGGATGAAATGCCTCATGTTTTTGTGAATAATTCTTTATAGATCTGTGATGTGACATGATTTAAATGAGTAATAAAAATTCATTCCCTTTGAAGGCCCTGTTTATTTTTACCAGAATTTTAATCCTCTGATCTAATCCCTCTTGTTCTATTTATATCTCACCAGTTACCAAATCCTCTCGATTCTGTTCCAGGCTTTCTGGAACTGCCCTTTCCTATTTTTTTTTTTTTTTCTACCTTCATCCACCACCCTCTGCCCATTCCCCCCCCCCCCATGCCTATTATGTGTGCTAGCTCTCCCCACTTGCAGATGAGAAGTCCTTTCCAAATCCTCTCCAACATCTTCAGTCTAAATCTCCCCCTAATACACTGATCTGACCTTTTTACCCCTGTGCTCAAAGACCTTCACTAGCTTCTCCCTTTCCCAAGGTAAAGTCAAAGCCCTTTACTCAGAAAAGCTCTCAGCCTGTCTGCTCCACCTTCTCCCTGCAGTTTCACATACTTCTCCGCAGATAACATGCTGCCACTTTCAGGCTGGCCTCCGAGCTGTTCCTCACTAGCCCTGGGTCATATTGCCCCCATCCTCCTGCTCTTCCCTCCAAACCCTGCTCAGCCCTCCAGGGCCAGTTCAAGTCCCCACCTCCCAAAGCCTCCCTCCCTGCCAGGTGAGTGACAGCCTCTTCCCCACCCGCCTCGCCAGTCCTAGTTTCCACAGCCCTCGGCCGCTGCATAGTTTTGGCTTCACCTTGAACTGTTTCTGATTCCTGCCCGTATCTCTTTGCAGTGAGATTGAAGCAACATGGTACAAGGGTTGCATCTGCTGTGGGGGTGGCCTCATCATTCCTCCATGGTGTCCTGTACACAGACCCTAACATACTTATTGCACTAAAATATTGGTCTGATGCATAATAAAAATTAATTGAGAATGGTGGAATAGCAACATTGGTGGAATAGTGATAGGAAGCAGAGCCTGAAGAGAACAGCTCAATTTTAGACAGTTTTATGAAAGGGAACAAACTCTGTAAACCAGAATTAGTTTATTGGTCCTCACATTCTCTGTGGGTCAGGTTTTCCTCTTTGGATGGAAATATATATACAATAACTCTTCTTGTCCTAACATTTGCTAAGTGAGGTAAATATTAACTCAGGTAGTTTAGGAAGAGCAATAGATTTTCATAAAGGCTAGCATAGCAGTAGGATAAGGCCCCTGTTTTCTTACTCCATTGTCATAAATGAAGTCTAACAGCAAAGAGTGTCTGCCTAAGAACTGATTTGTTACCTACCCTACATGCATTTAAAAAGAGAGAAGTGTACCCACATGAATAGCAGTGGGTGGCCACCTGTTCTGTTCAAAGTCGGGGAGAGTCTAACCTTGGACAGTGATGTGCCTTGGTCAGAAACTGGGTTTTTTTTATGACTTGTACAAAATATGTAGAAATTCAAGGTCATCCTGCTTTCACTATGTACAATGTCAGTTTGAATTCTGTTAAATAGAGTTATCTCAGAAATAAAGACTTGTTTAAAGGCACAAACGTAAACAGCAGTAATACACAGATCTAGCAGAAGCGAAATGGTTAAAATGATCAAGAAATTCAAGAATAAAAGAAGAAAGGCAACCAAAGCAGTTGTACCTCAGGAGAAAGTTTGTGAAAAGAATTCTGTTCTCCTTATTGACTTGGGAGAAAAAAGGAAGGAAATTAGGGAAGAAAGAGCGTAAGGAATAGAAATGGACAGTTCTTTAGTTTTAAGGCACACAGGAAGAGATAAAGAGGAGAAAGTAATGTAATGTGGCAAGATGTTTCTGAGTGTGGCTGACGAGTGATAGAGGGAAAAACCTTGAAAGGTAAAGGCCCTTTTATGTCAGATTGACTGATGTTCAGATTAAGTAAGTAAAAGCAGCATTTACTTCACCCTTGTTAATTAATTATACATTTCCTAGAACTGATTATGCTTGTTTGCTTATGTGTCCTGCTGCTGCTTTAATTACCAAGGGAAGGTTTTTTCTCAAGACACACCTTAACCAACTTGATGTCCATTTAATCTGATAGTCTCAGCTAATACAATTGTGTTGGTTAACTGTTAGTTTAACCTCCTGAAGTTAATGGATATAAAGATTACTCTTAAAAGACCCGTGTTGGGCCGGCTGAGTGGCTCAGTTGGTTGAGAGTTGGCTTAGGAGTGCGAGCGCTGAGCAATGGGGCTGCTAGTTCGATTCCCACATGGGCCAGTGATGCTGCGCCCGAGCTGAGCTGCCAGTGGGTGGCGGGATGGCTCAGCTGGTGTAACAACAAGATTGCCTGTTTGATGGTGGGCTACGTCCACCCGCAACTAAGGCTTAACTCGGCACCTTGAGCTGAGCTGCTGCCCAGATGGCTCAGTGGATAGAGCGTGCGCTCTTAACAACAAGGTTACTGGTTCGACTCCCTCCTGGGTTGGTGGCTATGCCCACCCGCAACTAAGATTGTAACACAGCACCTTGAGCTTAGAGGCCATGAGCTGCTGACAGGAAGCCAAATGGCGACTGGCGCCCTCCACAACGAAGATTGAAGAGCAGCGGCTTGACTGGTCCCCTTCCCCAGTTCCCCAGCACTGTTCCCGTCCCCCAATTCCCCAATAAAATCTTAAAAAAAAAAAAGACCCGTGTTATTTTATTATATACATGTGACTGTTTCCTTGGTTTTCCATTTTCTGATTGATACAACAATTAATCTTTCAAGTGTTTGTATTTATAGGGTGGATGTGTGGACTCGACCAACCAAAGCCTGGCTCTGTTGCTTATGACCCTTGGACAGCAGGACGTGTCCAAAGTTCTGCTAGGACCGCTCTCTCCCTACACGTGAGTTGTTTTCTTCAGTCTCGTTATGCTGTCCTGTCTCACCTCCCAAGTGCATTAAATGACCAACGTGCAATACTGTGCATAGCCACCACCATGCGCACCTGCTTGTACTGATCCTTAAACGAGCTAGAGGTTGTCACTCATAAAAACACAGTGTTTTAACAAGGATTTTGTTTTTCTTTCTCTCCTGTGGTTTCATCGCTCCCGTGTCATTAAAGTTGTGTGATATATTGGACAGTTCTTTTGTCTATGCTTTCGATTTTTTTCCATTTTGGTGGTAAGCTCCTGGTTCTGCTATAGCTTGGATTTTGTTGTCAGTTTTGTTAACTCCTCTCTTCCCTTAGCTGTGGCAAACAGGACTATCTTTTTATCCTAGGTGATAGGGTGTGAATTGGCTAGAAAGATGAAGAAAGAGGCAAAGTCCACAGTAATGCCACTGGACAAGTAGGGAAATTGTAAAAGTGAAGTCGAGGCCATTGGATGTTATCAGAAGTTGACTGCTGAGATATTAAATGAAACACTCTCCAAAAAGAGCAGCTCATCAGAAGACGAGTTACTAACAGCGCAGTGAAAGAAGCACTTCCCATTGATAGTAAACGAGGTTGCTATAAGCATCCTGTTTGAGCACTTGCATCTGGGTGTGTGGACATGTGCTTATATGCTTGAGATAATAACATGGCCATCTGTGGGTGGGGAGGTGGGTGGGTGTTCCTTGTGTGGGAGGAAATGCTAAGGTAGATATGAGACTGAACTGTCCTTTTTCGGTTATCATGGTACCGATGCTGTATATCTGAAAGGTACAGTACTGTGATAACTGAAGAATGGTGGTGCCATCACATTGAGAACGGGGCGAGCATTGCTGAGGGGGCCTTGTACCCTTGGACCATGGCTTGAGGGGGACTTGAAGACCAGGAGCTTGAAAGAGATTCTTTTGGAGGCTTTTTTTTTTTTTTTTGACTTGGTGGTGGGAGGTTTTTTTTTGGACAAGGAAATGCAAGAGAATACATTCTGTTCGCAGTGGGGGAAGAGTGATAAGCAGGAAACTTGGTGAGGACCACATTATCTGATGATAACTTGTGTATAGTATTTCACAGGACAGGAAACCTGAAATTGAGTAATCCTAAATGGCATGCTCAGATCAGGAATCAGCATTGCTAAAATAGACTCTGTAGTTCAGGCATTTGGAGAGGAGGTGAGGGCTGGGAGCATAGCACCCTAAAAATGCAGAGATTCGCTTCCTGTAGAGAGTTTGCTGGCTGACAGCTCTGACCACCACGGCTCCCTTCAGCCTCTCAGCTGTCTCATTGCTGCTGCGTTCCCAGCCTCTGCTTCAGGGCAGCAGGAGGCCTGAGTGCTCATACAGCATGAAGTGTCTAGAAATGCGTGTGGTTGTGCGGCACGGGGCTTGGCAGAACATTGTGTGAAAAATGGAATGTATATTTTTATTTTTCCTTCACACTTTTTTTTTAGAGATTTTTTTTTTTCTCTTTCATTTGGGCTACAGGGCCTTTATAATTTTTTCAGGTCAGCAGCCCCTGTGGAGATAGATGGTCAAGATGTGACTGGACATTTTTAAAAGTTCCTATGTCCTCCCCCTACATACCCCTTCACCAAACATTAATTGCAGTGTCTTGTCTTCCAGAAACCTTGCCTAAAATGATTCCATCTAGGAAAACAAAGTGGTCTGCTCTGAATCAAGCTTTACAGGAGTGGGGACAAATTACAAAATTATGTTTCGAGATTTGGGGATTGCAGGACATTCTTCCTCTGGATTACCTGCCTCCCAGGGTTTCGGGCAAGAGGGACCGCCAAGGGGTGGGAAAGAGTAGCCTCCTTTCTTTTTGGTAAGCTAGAAAAGGTTGGAGGGAGGGGGTGGTAAGGAGTTTATTTTTGAAAATGTTATCTGTTTGGGACCCTTGTTACCCTTTTATCATCGTGGGAGGCTCCAGTGGCCCAAAGTGATGAAGGGCAAAGGTGACAAGAAAGAAAGGTCCCTTCAGGGTCCCTTTAGACAAACTTAACATCATATTTGTGTGTACAGTTTAGTGTGAAAACACAGAATCTATGGTCAGTATAATCACAGTGGGGGAACAGTTTATCCTAGTTGGGTTCAAGAGTTTTGGGGACCAAACTATCACTTATTTTCACGTGCAGTTAAAGTTATAAAAATCTGTTTCTGAAACCTCAAATTTCTCAAGAAAACCAGAAACAAGACCCTCCTTGGTTTAAAGAAATGTATTTCTTCTGGCAGTTTGCTCATTCTGATTTGTATAAGTAGCTTTTTAAATATCTATTTACAGAGCCCTGGGATGAAGGGGGATGTTTTTTCTTGCAGGGTTGCTTTTAAACCCTTTCTGGAAAATAAAGGTCTTCGTTTTCTTCCTTTTCTTCTTTCCTCTGTCTTACTTCAGGAGATTGTTGCTGATGGTTTTCTGTGGTACTTGAGAAAGTAAGTCTATATGTGTGAAATTCTTTGGGAAGACCAGAGAGATTTTTTTTTCCAGTAGAATAAAATACTATTGGATAGTGTGCTGGTATGTGTAGAATCTATTTCTGTTCAATTTGTTGAGTTTTAGGCATTTTACAGTTGGCGATAGTGGTTCCACCTTCTCCTCAAAAAGCTTAATATTATAGCTTAATGAGGATTTATACTTTAATTAGAAGTAATATTAACAGGAAGAAAACATGTATCTATGATCATCTTAATTAGCACCTTCAGAAGTTTGATTGGAGACTGTGGTTCCCAGAGTTTTCTGCGTTTTCTTAGTATATGGGTGTTGGAGTCCAACCTATTTGATTTCAGTGGTGGTCTACCCCAGGCTACCGGGAGACCATGGATAGGTATTTAGCATCTCTGAGCCTTGGTGTCATCTGTAGAGGAGGGGAATGGTCCTGAAGTCATGGGCTTGTGGAGATGGAGTAAGGCTTAAATGGGGTCAGGTACTCAGTGCTCCCAGCAGTGCAGGGCTCCCAGCGGACCTCAGTCAGTGCTGGACACCACCGTCCCCACCCAGACACCCCCTTGCCCTGCCCCAGTCTGGAGATCCAGTCTCCCATTAAGGTCACTTCGAACACCAGGAGGCCCAATAAACTTGGCTTTGGGCAATTTCAGGCCTGAAGTCACTTGTAAATTGTTTGCTCAGCTATCTATAAATCTATATCCATTAATTTTTAAATTATGACTAACTTCCTGCAGTCGTGTTGCTAAACGGACTACACACATCTTATTTACTGTTCCCAAGAATTCTGTAAGGTAGGTGTTTATTTAACAAACAGTATGTTTACTGTTGGCCAGATGTTTTAAGTGCTTTCCAAATATGAACTCATAAAGTTCTCATAATAAGCCTATGAGGGTGCTGAAGGCGAGTACTGCTGCACGCTCCATTTTGCAGGTGAGGGGACTGAGGCAAAGAGAGGTCAAGTCATGTGCCCAGAGTCACACAGTCAGCACGTGGGGCTCAGACCCAGACAGTGTCGGCCAGAGTCCGTGCTTCCCTGACCCACTGTGTTCTTATGTAAGAACTGGCATTCTTTCCATAGTGTTGGACTCAGAAGCGCCTCCTCCCTGCCTGAGGCAGGGTGCCATGCCACATCTTGTCAGAGCCCCCATTTCAAATTCTGCTGTAAAATGATCTCCTATCTTTAGTCGGAGGCCTAAAATAAACCATGCCGCTTCGTTTTTTTCTAACTTTAATAGATGACCTCGTTCTGCTACTTGGGAAGTGCTGGGGAGCGAGAGCCCAGTGTCCCTGTTAAACATTGACTGATTGGGGGTTCTTGGCTCACTTAGCACAGCAATGTCAAGATCAAACGAGATAATGCAGGAAAGCGGGGGACTTCTGGCCAAGCCTTGCTATTCGGGTCCAGTTGTTGAACTGCTGTCCTGAGCTGGCACGATACCACTCCACCTTACCTGTGATTTAGTTGCATTTAATGCAGCAAAGCCCTGTCCCCTTTTTTAAGCTGTTTGCACCCCCAGAACATGTTTGGCATATGGTAAAAGCAAGGGATAGCTTTAGTTTCCAGATGAAAAGAGAGGCCAGGGGTCTGCTCATCATGAGTCCTTAGCCCAGCGTGGCTTGGGACCCACATCTCCCAACAGCACGGCCATCCTGGCTCTGTTTCCTTATGCCTTTATAACTGAATTTAGTAACTTCGTTCTTAGAGCAGAGGCCACCTGGGCTTTGGGAAAGCCGCTATTTGGTAGAACAAGCGCTGCCAGTATATTTCAAAGCTGTGGTGTAATCACTACAGGGGGCCCCAGCCAGCAGATTCTCTTCTCACCCCCAGATCTCCCATCCCCTCAACTTCCAGAGCAACCCCTTAGACCTGAGAAGTAGGTAACCCCAATATCCAAGTGGTTTGGTGGAGCAGGAGCCAGGACCTTGTGTTGCGGTTTGTACTTAAGGAGCTGCCAGAGAGAGCACACCCGTGATTGCTTTCACCCCGACTCTAGCAGGAGTCAGAAGAGGGACCTGGGTGAGAGGGGCTACGTTTTAAGGGGCAGTGCCGGGCAAGCTGGCAAGTCCTGGACAGTTGGGATTCAATGGGCAGATGACTGTGAGCCCAATGGCTGTCACCTGTTGACCAGTGGTGCTGGTGGAAGATAACACAGGAAAAACTATCCCTGTGTTCTAGGATTCTCTGAAACTTACTTCTCCGAAACTTACTTATCAGATGGACTGGAGGCTTTTATGGAAAGTAGGTTATTGGTTTGGTGTTTTGTTTTTTTGTGTGTGTGTGGAAAATAAATGACTTCGTTCAGAAAAATAAAGTTTACTGCAGATACAATCCTCTGAGTCCTTTTACATGGGAGTTGCACAGTCCCAGTTCCCTAAAATGGTTAGTCTGAAAAGCTGCCAGTGACCCTGGTCACCTGTGAAGGGGCGGCGCTGCTCTTAGCATGCTGTGGCTCTTGCCTGGCTGTGTGACCACGTGGCTGTGTCTAGGAAGTGTGGATCTACAGTGTGGTGTTTGGGAGCGAGAACAGGGAAGTGTTCTGCACCCAGGAGGCGGGGCCTCGTGGGGCTTGCGTGTGGCTGCAGCCATGCAGAGCCCCGGGGCTGTGGAGAGGGATGTGGATCAGCACCGGACGTGACTCTTCAACTGCATGTAGCTGTGGGCGAGCATATTCTGCTTTGTTTTCATTTTCTTAAAGAGACTGTTAGGATTTAATATTGTCTGTGGTTATTTCTCAGCTTCTGAGCATGTTTGCTCTTTGATAGGCCAGCTCCAGGCGATGGGGAGAATGGGGCTGGAGCTGGGAGGACATTCTGAAACATCCCTTAAGCCAGTCCCTTACAGCCTTCCTCAGGCTGAGGGGTTGGCAGAACATTATGTAACAAGGGGAACCGACTCTGCTTTTTCTAACCATTCCAAAGGCTACAAATACCCCAAGGTTGCAAATTTGTAGGCCTGTACACTCAAACCTGTGTTTCTCCTATCCTTCTCCAAGAGATCAGAAGCAAGCTGAGGCCTCCTAGGAGTTCTGCCAGCTAGGAGGGTGTCTGGTTTTTCTAGCACAGTTGGACGATTCAGAGCGAAGTGGGCTTGGAAGGCACTGGGAACAGGCCTGTGTTAGAGCCGAGGCAGCAGCCAAGGAGAGAACAAGCTGTTTGCTCCTTAGAACCCAGGCGAGTGGGTGAGATGTCTGGCTTGTTCTGCATTGCTGCCAGCTGGATGCTTGGCTCACAGATGTGCACTGTTTATCTATGGGTTTAGCGTGTTTGTTTTCTTTTTTCCTAGGACAGGGTGGGGGAGATTGTGAGGCTGGGTGGAGAGCAAAGAACTGAAAATGTCAATTGGTTAGTAAGACAGGAAAGCCAGCAGGGGAAGAATTGACTTCCCTTAATTGCTAAGGATGTTGAAGTCATTTCTCAAAATTAGCTCTAACTCCTAAATTCTGTTCTGTGCCTCATTATTGAATGCCTTATATAGGTGCCTAGCAGGTATCATGAGTTTTGATGACAGATAAGGTCATTGTCCTTGAGGTGCTTATATAATTCACCAAGGTGGGAGGGGCAGTTGTGAGACAACTACACATAAGCATTTAATTAGACACTAAACAGAGCCGAGAATGTAGAGGGCTTATTGGCCAGGGAGAAGAGTTGACAAAGGGGGTGTTATTTTAATGATGGAGATGAAGTAGCATAATTGTAAATGGAAGAGAGAGTAAAGGAGTGAGGAATTTTTCTGTTGGTATGCAGCAGTCATCAGAATGCCTACTGTCCAGGGCAGTTCCTGTTTCATCTCTTAGCCCCTAACATGCCGTCATGAGCCAGACAGGTGAGGGATTGTTCAGGTGTCCTTTTCTCCTGCTTGCCTTTCTCTCCTTTAACTAGATCATCTAGGACAGAGACAGGAGTGGGTGGGGAACTCATTTCAGTAAGCTTAACACTTAGCTTGGTATATACTGTATGAGGGTGAGAGGCAGGATTGGTACTTTAACTTCACAAATATATATGCATTTATTTATTTTGAGCAGCTGTATTGAGATATAATTCATATGTCACACAGTTTACCCATTAAAGCGTACAGTTCAATGGTTTTTAGTAGAATCCAAAAGTTGTGTAAACAGAACTACAGTCTAATTTTAGAACAGTCTCACCACCCGGGAAAGAAACCCTCTGCCCATTCATGGTTGTTCACCATTCCTCCCACTCGCCTCAGCCCAGGCAACCACTAATCTGCTTTCTGCCTCTATGCTGGATGTGCCTGTTCTGTCCATTTCATGTAAATAGACTCATACAATATGAGCTCCTAGGTGACTGCCTTCACTCACTTAGCATAATGTTTTCAGGGTTCATCCGTGTTGTGGCATATGTCAGTACTTCATTCCTTTTTATGGCTGAATAGTATTCCATTGTATGAATACACCACATTTTGTTTATTCATCTGTTGATGGGCATTTGGGTTGTTTCTACTTTGACTTTTGTGAATAATGCTGCTATGAACATTTGTTTACAAGTTTTTGTGTGGGTATAGTTTTTCGTTTCTCTTGTTGTACATACACGAAAGAGTGGAATTGCTGGATCATATGGTAGCTCCTTGTTGAACATTTTGAGGAACTGCCAGACTGTTTTCCACGGTGGTGACAATTTCTACCAGCAGTGTGTAAGAGTTCGGATTTCTCCACACCCTGACCCACACATTTGTTATTATGTGTCTTTTTGATTGGAGCCATTCTATTGGGTGTCAAGTGGTATCTCAGTGGTTTTGATTTTCACTTCCCTAGTGACTAATGATGTTGAACATCTTTTCATGTGCTCTTGGCCGTATGTATATCTTCTTTGGAGAAATGTCTATTCAGATCCTTAGTCCATTTTTAATTTGGGTTATTTTTTTTATTACGGAGTTGTAAGAGTTCTATAATATATATATTCTAGATATTAGATCCTTATCAGATATATGGTTTGCCAATATTTTCTCCCATTCTGGGAGTTGTATTTTCACTTTCTTGACAGTGTCCACAAAAGATTTCAATTTTGATGCAGTCCAATTTATTTATTTATTTTATTATTTTTAGCTGAGCCATCCTGCCACCAGTTGGCAGCTCAGCAGCAGCGCAGCTCAGGCCAGGCATCAAACCGCTGTTGTTCAGAGCTCGCACTTTTTTTTTTTTTTTAAGATTTTTATTGGGGAATTGGGGGAAGGGGAACAGACAAGTTGCTGTCGTTTTGTTCTTCAGTCTAGTTGTGGAGGACGTTGCTTCACTGGCACAAGTTGGCACCATCATTGCGCTCTTCCCCGGGCGAGGCAGATCAGTCGCCGGCTTCTGGACGGCCGCTCACGCTGGCTGCTGGCCACTCACGCTGGCTGCTGGCTACACACGGTAGCCCATGGCAACCCACTGCAGCAGGGGCTGCTGCCTTTGTCGTCGCTGGCGACTCACAGCAGCCCAGCTCCAGGGTGAGCTATTGTTCAGCATCTTAGCTGTAGAGGGCAGTGTCACTGGCCCTCATATATGGGATCTGAACTGGGGCCCTCTGGCGTCCCAAGCCAGCTCTTAACCAATGAGCTACTCGGCCGGCCCCAGAGCTCGCACTCTTGAGTGAGCTCTTAATCAACTGAGCCACTCGGCCAGCCCTATATTTATTTATTTATTTTTTATCATTACGCTTTTGGTGGTGTATTCAAGAAACCATTGCCTAGCCCAAGATCATGAAGATTTACTCCTGTTTTCTTCTGTGAGTTTCATAGTTTTAGCTCTTACATGCAGGTCTTTGATCCATTTTGAGTTGATTTTGTGTATAATGTGATGAAAGGGTCCAACCTCATTGTTTTGCATGTGAAGTTGTTCCTGCACCATTCATTGAGAATATTATTCTTTCCCTGTTATCTTGGCACCCTTTTTGAAAATCAGTGGACCACAAGTGAGTGGATTGATTTCTTGACTCTCAATTCTGTTCCATTGATCTGCATGTTAGGGTCAGTATTTTGTTTTTTGTTTTTTTTTTTTTTTAGCTGAGCCATCCTGCCGCCTGTTGGCAGCTCAGCGGCAACTCAGCTCGGGCCAGGCATCGAACCGTTGTTGCTCAGAGCTCTCACTCTTGTGTGAGCTCTTAACCAACTGAGCCACTCGGCGGGCCCATAGGGTCAGTATTTTGAAAGCTCAGTTATCCCATGTTCAGTCAGAGCTGAGAGCCATCTGGCTGGGGTAGGGAGTTTGGATGGTTCGATTGGGAGGGAGCACAACACGAGGTTGCTGGAATTCTTTATTTCAGATATGTAGTCCATCTGTTCTTAACTAAACCAGCATTTTTGAAACCTGCCTGATAAAAATCACCAGGAGTGCTTGTGAACAATCGATTTCTCGCCCCTTTTCACTGGGGAGACAGGGCTTGGAAAGGGGTGGGGAGAGGATATCTTTGCATGTGGCCTATGATTCTGGGCTCTTCCATATGGACATTTCCTCCCTGTTAGTTGCCAGTTGACTAGAACCTTCAGGAACCTGTAGGTGAGTCATTGCTGAATGTTTTAGGCCACACAAGTAGAGGCCTGCATACCCATCCCGTGGTCCTTCCCCAGAATTGCTGTTCCCAAGGTATTCTTGGGGTGAAACCATCGCTCTGTCTTAAGGAAGATGACAAGAAATAGCCACATGAAACTTCTCACCATGTTTACTGTGAGCCCTTCGCTGACCACCTTATTGAAGAGTGCCTCCTGCCATATACACACAGATATTGTTAGATCCACATTTCCTCCCCATCTGCCTTGTTTACTTTATTTACATTTCCCTTTTCAAGGATATTTAACTTCTCTTGTCTTGCCCCACTTGATTGAAAACACCACGTCAGAAGGGACTTTTTTTTTTTTTTTTTTTAGCTGAGCCATCCTGCCACCTGTTGGCAGCTCAGTGGCTGCTCAGCTCAGGCCGGGAATCAAACTGGCGACCCCGTTGCTCAGAGCTCAAACTCTTGAGCGAGTTCTTAACCAACTGAGCCACTCGGCTGGCCGGAGAAGGGATTTTCAGTTGACTGCAACATCTGTCTCCAAGAACACTGCCAGGCACATTATAGGCATTCACTCCATGTTTGGTAAATGAATGGAAGGAGGATGTTGAGACTGAGGAATGAAGAGAGAAGACATCTCTATTTTGGCATCAACAGCAGTCATTCCGCTTGGTTTTACCTCATGATGCTGTGAATCACGACAGTACGTGTCTCTGTCTTTGCAGGAGCCACTCAAGTATTAACGCCGTGTTCATGTCCACTGTAACAAGTGTGTAGGACAAGACTAACCTCTGACATTCATTCATTCATTCATTCATTCACTCATTCATTCTTCTGTTTTGTGCATCTCCAAGCTGTCTAAATCCCCTGGAAATTGGCAGGCTATAAATAAATATAATGTAATGAGATTTGATGAAAATTTCTTGATTTTGGCCATTCTTCTTGATCTGGGAAATTAAAAAGCTTGGGTTCTAGGTGGGAGGAGAACTTTTTTTGTTTGTTTTTAAATCGATTTCCTCTTTCATTCCTTCCTCCTTTTTCCTTTTTAGGATAGAATTTTTGCGGCACTTGAAGAGCTTTTTCCAGATTATGTTTAAAGTTGAAACCAAGCCAGGTGGTGAAGAACTTAAGGGTGGGGATAAAGTGCTGATGACATGTGTTGGCATTGGCTTCTCCAACCTTAGCAAGACCCTCAAGTGAAACTTTCACGGGACCAAAGACCCCAACGCCTACAGACAAAGCGGAAGCCTCCAAGGACCCAAAGGGACCAAGTCCAAATTCATCCAGGACAGGATAGCCTCTGATGTTAAGGCCTTTCCCAATTTTCTGTTTAAAAACAATCAGAATACCCCAATAAAACACATCTTTCTATCACGTGGTTTCCAGCCATTTCTCCAGTGGTCCTGTTATTCCTCGGGAGGCCCTGTCTTGAGGAGAGCTCCCTGGGCTTACCTGGACAAAGAAAGCACCTTCAGGACACAGTCGTGCTCGAGACCAACATCATAGCTGCATTCCAGCAGTGCTTCCCCAGCCCACATCCCTGGGCGTCTGTCGTGTGGCTGTCTTCCAGACTGATTCTGCAAGAACTGACCTCTTTGAACCTTGGTTTCTGTGTAGGGATTAAATGAGATAATACGGGTGGAAACTCTTTCATCAGTGCAGTGTTATGCAAATGTCAGAAATTGGTATATGAGACTATTTCATCCCTTGTCTTAAGGGTGGACTCTGCTGTCTTGGAGACAGATACTGCTCCCTGTCTGGTTCATTGTATGTGTGTGTTGGGGGATGAGTGCCTGGGTGTGCCGGGGTCCAATTAAAATTGTTGAATGTTTTTTATATCCCACGTGTGCTCTACATTTTCTTATTTTGTTCTCATAGTAGTCCTGTGATACAGATGTTATCATCTCCACAAGGAAATTCAAAAAGGATATTTTGTTCCTTTGAAATTTATAATGGGAAGGCATTAGCTCTCCTGATTTAAATATCTAAGTGTAATAATAGTGTCGGAGTCTGGAAGTTTTACCTTACATACAAGCTGATAAGCTAGAGCAGGGGTCGGCAAACTGCAGCTCGCGAGCCACATGCAGCCCTTCGGGTATGTTCCATCTCAAAAGTTTGCCAACCCCTGGAAGAGCCAATCCAGTCCCTCACAACAATTTAAAAATTATTTGAGAGCCATAAATATATTTTTACATAATCACCATTATATGAATAATGTCTTTTAAAAATTTTATAAATGAAACTATGATAGTTTTATTTTTATTTTAATTTTCAATTTTACTTCAGCCTTCAGCTTGCGAGCCAGTTTGCTGACCCCTGGCGGCTTTTCCGTCTTAAAAATTTGCCAACCCCTGAGCTAGAGGATTACTGTTTCATGGATGCTGGGAAAAGACATGAGAGCCCTCGGTCAGAGACAAAGACCGTTGTGACTCGGCACAGCAAGCCTTATGAACTTCATGTTTGCATTGGTTTCCCCTGTCCCCCAAGTCTCACAGTGGTAACGTGGAAGGGCCCCAGATAGATGCCATGCCCACAGCAGGCTTGCATCACAGCCAAGAAACATGCACGCCTGGGGACTCTACCTCTATAGCAGGCCTGCTCTTTGTTCCAGATGTGGACATTACTTCATCTCTCAACACAGATGAGAAAGGGCCTGGGTAAAGGCTTCCCCATCAAGAATGTGCTGGAACACCCAAGGCCTGTGGCGATTGCCTCTGCCAACCAATGAGCCTACATTGGTGTGTGGGAGTTGGTAGAAGGGGAAAGATCTAATTCTTCTAGGATTCTAAATGATATTCTCCCCTTGGGGTGGGCTTTTGAAGTATGAAAGGTCTTTGTCTTCCTCGGCCTCTTGGTACCCTTTGCTTTTTCAGTGAAAGGGGCCAGAGGAAGTCTGTGCTGTTATGATTGGGGGCTGCGGAGAATGTGGAGATGAAGGACTAATACAGAAGGTGGCTGGGCCTTTTTTGAACTGTGCAGCCCTCTACTTACTGAGAGCTTTGCTTGCTGTATTAGTTTTCTGTTGCTGCATAAAAAAATCACAACAAATTTAGCAGCTTAAAACTATCCATTTCTCATCTCACAGTTCTGTAGGTCAGAAGTCCTGGTGGGTTTGGTTGGGTTCTCTGTTTAGGGTCTCAAGGCTGATGCTAAGGTGTCAGCCAGGCTGGGCTTGGGAAAAGAATGTGCTTCCAGTTCATTCACTTGGCAGAATTCAGGCTGCAGGACTGGAGTTCCTTTCTGGCTGGCCAGGGACTACTCTCAGCTTATAGAGGCTGCAAACATTCTGTGTAACTAACTTGGTTCTCTTTATCCTCAAGCCAGCAGTGAAGCATCAAATCCTTCATGTGCTTTGAATCTGACTTCCTCTTGTGATAGCAGCTGAAGAAAACATTGCTTTTAGATGACTCATATCACAGGCCAACTAGAATCTCCATATCTAGGGTCACCTGATAACAGCCATACTTAGATTTGTGTTGGAATAGCCAGGGGCTGGGAATCTTGGTCGGTCATCTGAGCATTGTGCATACCACACATGCTGCAGTTTTACTTGACACTGCTGGTGTTTGAACCCAGATCTGCCCACGCTCAGATACAGAACTAAGGCACTGCATGGCCAGTCCTGCCCTACAGGAGCTTTCTGTCCTTTGGAATGAGCTCTGGAAATGGTCCTGTGGGTCAATTTATGGTGATATATAGACTCCGGGCAGATCATTGCAAGCAGTAGAAGGGACGCGTGCCCCTACTGGCTACAAACACGGAAGTATCTGCTGGTTTCCAGCCCTCCATCCGGCACAGCTGCTTTTAGAGTGGGAGCATCTGGCAGTGGCGATGATAGTGCCAAGAGGAGGACAGATTTAATATTTATTTAAATGGCCTGCTCCCAGCCCCCCTCTCAAATGCCCAAGAGAAGGAATACCATGCCTTAGGAAGAAGTCATCCTGTGCAGGTTGCTGGTTCATCTTAGTGACGGCAGGCATCTGTGGTCTTGGCCTTGTTCTTAGCGTAGCCCCTGATTGGTCCAGCTTCCCGGGTAGAGTGATGAGAGATTCCAGCATTTGGGGCCTGTCTGCTCTCCTTGACAGAGAGAGACCACTCAATGAGACTAGTGATTTTTTTTCAGGCAGATACACCTGTGTCCTTATTGGGGGTCATGACAGAATAATTGTCTTTGTCTACCTGTCATCTACCAGGCCCTGTTCCTGCCTGTCAACACCCTTCAACTGCATTCTCTGTAAACACCAGTTCAGCCTCCCTCCACCGTGAGTGTTTTACAATATTCATCAAAACAGTTGATAAGGGGTGGGAGGAAGCTAGGGTATTGCAACACGACCTGCTGATGGGGAAAGAGCAACAGGAGCCTCTGCTGAAATCCAAATTACCCTAAACCTCATGGGTTTTTGGTTTTTTTGGTTTGTTTTATCTTTTTTGATAAAAAGTGAAGGATATCACTGATGACAGACCCAACCAAAAAAACCCCAAAACTTAAGCTGCACCGTGGTGCCTGTCTTTTCACTGTCACTACAACAAAAGATGACGAGGTAGCCATTTTCCAGTAGGTCTTTTGTGCTGGGTGGCTCCTAGGTGAGGCCAAGGCTGACAGTTAATTTTACAAACAATGAGGCGAAAGGTTGAGGGTGCAAAAGGGAGGGAAAGAAATAGGATGGAGTAGAGGAGACTTAAAAGAAGTGGGTAAAAGCAAAGGTAAATGGAGAAAAGGAAACACCAGGGAAATAAGGAATTACCACAGTTTTGGCTGTGCCTAAGGTAGGGGTGGGATTCAGCTGGGTGAGGTGTGGGGATCAAGGTGGAGTGAAGAAGTACATTATTGGGGGCCTTGGTCATGGTGAGAGGATTAGAATGTGGACTTCCGTTTAATTTTCCTGTCAGTACTTTGTTGGAGACGTGGGGAGGTACCAGTGGGTGATTTAAGTCAGTCTGTGATGAATGGGAAAGCAGCCTCATAGGTCGTGTGCCCAACCTGGATCTCCACTGTTCCTCACCTGGCTCCAGAGTGGATGAGAAGTGACTGGTGCTGAGAGTGTCCGTGTTCAGATGACCCTGGCCTGTTTTTTAGAAATGACTAATAGTTAACAGGAATGTCAATAGGCAAGCCAGATCTTTTTGGACTCTTAAGTTGGCTAGGTCTCAGAAGCCATTTGAGTAGAATAATTTATCGACGTTTGGCATCTCATGGAGTCCAAGCCACATCATTTCTTTACTTAAGCAAATAAAAGCTGTCATTTTGTCAGGGGCTGCCTTTAATTCTTTGTCACTTATGACCCATACCTGTCAGATAGCCTGACCCCCAAGCCTGAGGCACGGGCCTTGGGGCAGCACCTGTTGATGGGTCAGGTCAGAGTGTTTCCACTCCCTCTTCCTGGTCCTTCTGATGCTATTGGTTCTGGATACGGATCCTGCTCTGCCGAGACCTTCTGCTGGGCCTAGAGGGGAGGCGATAGTGCCTCAGGAGGTAAGTGTGGCACAGCTTGCTTTCTGGCCCAGCTCAGCTTCTAACCAGCTGTTATGATATTAAAAAATTCACCTTCTCACACTTGGGTTTCCTCTGTCCAGTTGGGGTGGATGTGTAAGAGGGTGCCCGAAAATTCAAAGATTCCCCTTATTGCCTTTTCTACCCTTCCCCCATTCTCATGTTTATCTGGGGTGGAAGGTAGGTTAGTTGGCATGAGCATTTTTTTCTTTTTTTTTTTTTTAAAGATTTTATTGGGGAATTGGGGAAGGGGAACAGACAAGTTGCTGTCATTTTGTTCTTTAGTTGTAGAGGACGGTGTCACTGGCCCTCATATGTGGGATCCGAACCG